AAAAAAAAAAAAAGCAATATGAAAGAAAAGAACAGTACCTTTTCCAAATATCTCAGCACACTGGTTGTCAAGAGTTTGGCATCGTCCGTGGTAACAGTATGCTGTTCCCAACCTGCATAAATTGCCATTCAGCGCATAAGTGTCTGGTACACATTGACTCGAAGTCCCATTGCAATATTCGGTGAAATCACAGTCTTGATCAGCACTCTTTCTACAGGGAGTGCCTGCTGCTGACAACTAGAAAATAAAGAAAAGAGAAATCATCATGGATGACTCTTCTGAATTACTTACTGTAGCTATTTTATCAAATAAAATAGGTCTAATTAGGTAATAACAGATGTTTTTGTTTATATACAAAATGACCCTCTAAACTCCTATGTGTTTGGAAATGCCTTGGATCATGCATGCACTATATTCTTTAGTAAATTCATTCACTGATGAATTCAGTAGCTGAACATGCTGTTGGAGGGGGGAGGTTGGAGTGGGGCCCTGGGGTGACGTGGAAGGGTACATTCCTCTCCCTACTCCTTCCTCGTCCTCTCTGCTTCCTGGCTACCATGAGGTAAGCAGCCTTCCTGCACCAGGGCCTTCCACCATGTGTTTCTGCCTTTCTTCAGCTACCTTAGACTGAACCCACTGTTGTCTGTGAGATCAGTGAACTCTCTTCTCTAAAGCTCTGGACATTGGGTATTGTGTCCCAGCAGTGGCAAAGTAGCTAGTAATAGAGTCCCCCAAAGCCAGGAGTTCTCCAAATGAAAGACTAGGGAGAGTACTATTCTGAAGCCTAGAAAGAGCACACCATTCAAAGACAGACAATTCCCTGACCACAGGCTGAGTTACTCCCCCTTCCACTTCACAGTGAGCAGCAGGGTGAAGCACATCTGTCACCTGAGATGGGAGGATCATGGCCTCTGCCCGTATGCTCCTGACACATGTCTCTTTCTAGGCTAATTGTGCAGGTGAGACACACAACGTGTCCCTTTTACATTTGTAAAGTTGGGAAGACAGACATAATATCAAAGGGATCTTTCTTGCTTTGTTTGATTTTTGACATGGGAAGTGATATGCTGCACCCCTGTGCTCAAATGCCTCAGTCTCCTAAGTGCCAGGACTTCAGGCATTCACTGTGATGTCCATTTTCCATGAGCTCTCATGAATATCAAGTGATTTAATGGAAAAAAATGTTTACAGTAATACCCAGCAATAGCACCTGTAATACTGATCACCACCACTATCATCCTACTTATGACTGGCTGCGTGCATAGAGGCCTCATTGCCTGGGTCACACAGTGCATAATGATTACTACATGTAGCAGTTGTGGCCAAGTAAAAAAGGGGTTATCCATGTGTTCCATGGCAAGGCTGACAACACCTGGATGCTGACCTGTGGACAGCTTGGAATCACAAACACACAGATGTGTGCGAACATGCACAGTAATCCACTTCGAACTGATAATTCATAAAACAAATGTGTAATCAACGCAATGGCATCTTAAAAGTAATGAAAGAAAAAAATAACTTTTTCAATTTAGAATTACATACCTTGGAGGGAGGTAATTGTATATATATTGAAAAAGAAGGTAAAACAAAATTTCATGATAGGAGAATAAAAATAGTTAATACATTTTGTATTATTATATTTAAAGTAATTACTAAGCAAAAGATATGGGCATAAATATTTTCTAACTGATAGTAGCACAAACCTTTCTTTTCCATGAACCAAGAAACATCAATAGTATAACTAACTTGCATTTTTCTCTCTTTTTCCTTCTTTCCTTTCCCCTCCCTTTCCCCATCCTAGTTCCTTTTACCCTTTTAACAATTTTTCCCACTTCACGATATCTACTGTGCATTTTAGATCTTGCTTACTCTTTGGATTTCTCACACAAGGGCGACAATACAGACTTTATACATGTGAATCTGATTATTTCACTAATGAGTATGAACTCAAATTGCATTCATTTCCCATAAAAGTCTCAATCCTTTTCTATAGCTGAGTATTACTCCAT